ATAGCATCAAAATGAAATCTGTGTTTTGATATTTTTTTTTTTTATTTTTCTTTTTCTTTTTTTTTATCGATTCATTTTTTTGTTCTTTTTTAGTTAATAGAATCGTCTCGATTATAAATTTAGATTTTGCTGATGATTGTAAGATATTATTTTACAAAATCTAATCTATCATATCTTTTTGCAATTATAAATAAGATTCAATAAGATATATGCTATTTCTGTATCAGAGCTTATGCTCGATCTAGATAAATTGCCTAAAAACGAAAAAAAAATAAAAAGATAACCATAAATTGCATAATCTAATTCATTCAAAAAGATATTTATTTATCTATTATTCTCTTTTTTTTTTACACGTTCTTGCACTTACATCGCGAATGTATAATAACGTTTTGGTTAATTTTGGTTTATTAAATAATTGGACAAAAAAATATTTTCAAAAATAAAATTTTTTAAAAATATTTTTCCACTTACATATTGCATACAGTAAACAATAATTATTGTAAATTTCGTCTCATTAAAAGTTCAAGAAAATGAGCGTTTTTAAAATTTTAAAAACAAAAAAAAGAGAAAAGAGAAAAAAAATATCCTCTTCTTGCTTACACGGTGAATAATAATCTTTATTAAATTTCACCTCATAGCAAGCTTTTCGCAAACAAAATATAAATAATAATAATATTAATAATAATAATAATAATAATAATAATAATAATAATAATAATAATAATAATAATAATAATTATAATTATAATAATAATAATAATAATAATAATAATAATAATAATAATAATAATAATAATAATGATGATGATGATGATGATAACGATGAAATTGTAAATTTTCGAGATCAATGAATGTAGAAAAAAAAGAAAAAAGAGAAAGAAAACAAAAAGAAAGAGAAAGAAGGAAGGAAAGAAAAAAAGGGGAAAAAAAAAAAAAAAAAAAATTAGAGAGGAACCTTTCAACTCTACTTTTCAATTTAATAAAACGAAATTATCGTCCTTAAGCGAAAAGATGGAATGGAAGATTCACCAATAAGACATGTAATAGTAAATATAGGACAAAGACGATATAAAACAAGAGACGCGCATGTATCATCGATTGTCCGATATAAGTATACGTCATTCGGATGTCCTTCAAGCATTCACATACTATGAAATACACATTCTACTAACAAAAGAGGTTTCTTTACGAGTGTATTGTTTCATCTCTCTCTCTTTCTCTCTCCCTCTCTCTCTCTATCTCTTTCTGCTTACGCTTCACCACGTCGAGAACGAAACTTCTTGTTTCTCGCACGAATTATACAATAAACAAACAAACAACAAACAAACAAACAAACAAACAAACAAACAAACACACACTCACACATACAGAAAAATACATTCGACTATTATTATAATTAAATTCGATTTAAAAAAAATTCTGGAAAGTAGAGGAAAAAAGAGGAAAGTAAAAAATGTAAGGAAAAAAAAAAAAGACAATGTGAAGGAAATATACGGCAAGGTATAATAACTCGGAAAAAATAAATATATAATATAAATATGAAGAAGACGATTTAACAAATAATCTTATCTTCAGAGACAGAAAAAATAAAGAAAAAAATTTAAGCACTCGTTTAGTGCTTAATCTTCACAGACCATCGAAATATTTCGTTTCGATCTATATCAATAATAAACGGCGAACGTAAAAAAAAAAAAGAAAAAAAAAAGAAAAAAGAAAAAAAAAATCTCAATAAAAATTCTAAAATTAATACTTCCTCGTATTTTTCTATAAGTTAGATCAAAAGTCATTTAAATAGATTACCCTTTTTCGTGACTTATTACGAGCAAACTTTTTCTTTTTCCAATTTTTAATACTGCCAAAGCTAATGAATTTTTTTTGACCTATCCTGTATAATCTAAAAAAATAAAAATAAATTGAATAAAAATTGAATAAAATTTAATAATCGTTTAGAATAACATAAATTAATATTTTCATGTTAAGAACAAAAGAAAAAAAAAAAAAAAAGAAAAAAAAAAGAAAAAGAAAAAAAAAAGAAAAAAAAAAAAGGAATTGTGGACTAAAAAAAGAAAGAAAGTTAAAATCGAAGGATCGTGACCTCTTTTAAAAACAGGATAAAAGAGTCCTGTGTTAGATATATATATATATGTATATGAATATGTATATATATATATAACATATATAAACACGCTCATGGTCACACCAGGTGGCACTGATAGTCACACGCTCGCATTTCTAACCTCCTTTCCCTTCTTGCCATTCACCAGATTCCCTTTCCAAACTCTTACTACAAAGAGCACACAACACACGCGCGCACGCATGCACGCACACACAACACATAACACGCAACAAAAAATTCCCATTGCTCATCCGCTCGTAAGGTTTGTTTTCAGTATTTCACATTTAAAGAAGGACGTAACTACAATCGTAAAATTTTAATACCAGGAGAAAAGAGAACGTAAAAATGAAAAAAGAAAAAGAAAGAGAAGAAGACAAAATATAA